TGCGTCCGCCCCTCTCTCTCTCTCTTCCAAGGAGTAGTTCTATTTCTTGTGCTCCATTGATACAAGATCTAGATAGCTGTTTGAGAATACAGTAGAAGATCTTAAGGTATGTACGAAATTCCAATCAGATCTATCATACATCCAAACCGGAGACCAAAACCAGCAAGTGACCATACCACGATGACCAGGACGACGAGACAAAGAGATCGCCGTCGAGATCGCCGCCAGCCGCCGCCGCACGCGTCTCATTCCTAGCTCCTTCATAGGCCTAGTGGTTGTCTTCCTGCCGAAGGGAGTCCGCCTAGGTGAATATCAAAGTGATGTTGATCGCCTCCAAGGAGAGCAAAGTGATCCTCTGCTTTTAGTCGAGTGAAGGTGTAATTGACTTCAACAATTGGGGTTTACTTGGGCGGAAGTTTTGATCCTCTCTTCCGAACCAATGAGAATCTAAGCAGTGTCAATTTGTACTCAAGTAACGATGTTCTAGGAGTAACAGAAAATATAGCTAGAAGGGCTCTTTTAATATCAGCATCCAAAATGCCTATCCGAACTCAATTTATTTTTTCACCAAGAAGGGCATATCTTCCTGATACTCTGAATGTTGATCTTCTGACCACGAAACTGAGCGCGTGAACCGTCTAATTTCCGATCGGTCAACGCTGTTGACTTTTCCGTGACGCCAGCTTTCTGGATTGGTCAAGTTTGTTTGATTCCGATAAGATTTGATTTGCGGTCAACTGTTTGGGCCAGCCAGATCTACATAAATTTTAAGCAGTAAGTTTTCTTCAGCAATCCTTTAGATCCGCTTCGCATAGGTTTATGTTGAATGTTTGTCTGTGATTTGTGCACATCGAGATCCTCATATGTCCCAACAAGTTCTGTATTTAACCGGTTCCAGTTATACCGATTAAATCCTAATATCATGTCATGTCCAGTAGAGCATCTTAACAAATTAAACAACTATTTTTATTAGTCTGAGCATAGTACTTAGTAATTGTTTATATTATATTTCAGTTTGATCAGGCTTCAGATATTAGCACTGCCTTTCATTTTTAAAGGATCAGATGGGGACTCAGACTGGGTATTACATTGATTATAATTACGCTACCATGTTTGAGGTATGTATTATCAGTATCCGCTTGGAATGGTCGCCGGTCCATTATGGGTTATAGTGGCCTTAGTCTGCCCACTAGAGTGTGCACATGGTGTCCGGCATTTTTACGCTGGCAGATGTTCAGTTATCAGTCAGGTGATGTTTATCACGAGATCAGTATCAGATTATTCAGTACGGGTATCAGTTTCAGTTTAAGTTCAGTATCAATTCAGTTATATATGCCAGGATCATGATATTGTTATTATTTTCACAGTTTACTTTAGTATGAGTTTCTGCGGAGCACAGTGGATTAGTGCTCACGCCTCCACATCATTCATGTTTTTTTTTTCAGGTCACAGGGTCGGGGCCGAGGAGTGAGCTGGCGACCGGTTCAGGACATTTGTATATATGTATAATCATGTTTTGGCTACACTATGGTTTTCGCTACTATTTCAGTTTACCAAACCAACTTTTGATCCGACGTTAGTCGGTTATTATGTTATATAACTATTTTGTCGTTAGACTAAAATAACAGTTTTCAGATAAAGTCAGATTTTACGGTAACACTCCGAATCAGTATTTCACAAAATAAATGCTTTTATTTAGAAAAGTTTTGCGAAAGTCATGCTCTGATTTTCATGAAATAGCGGGGTGTTACAATTGGTATGAGAGCACGTTTCTGCGTCTATGAAAAATTTTACGAGTAAAAAATTTTTAAAAACCTGAACTCGTCATGCTCACGCCTCACCAACTACAGGTAAGTGCTGATTTATGTTTTAAGTTATAAACAAATTACTTTGTATATGCTCAGAAATTTATTAATCATGACTTAGTTAAGATGCTCGAATCAGGTTCAGAACTTATAGTTCAGTGTACTCAGATATAACTCTAGATTTCCTCAGGATTAATGTTAGTATTTTCCAGCCATGTTTGGCAACTCATCAAGAGATCTGTGTACTTTAGTAATCAGTTGGAGTATTTTTCATGTGTTCAATAATGTTGAACTTTTTCAATGATCAGATGCCGCCCCGTAGGGAACCCGATCGCCCGGTTATTCCCCAGGCCACAGTAGTCGCACAGTTCCGCGACTAGCACCCTGAGAAATTCTCAGGCCAGGGGGATCCTCGTGTTGTGGACGAGTGGATTCAGGGCCTTGAATTGATTTTCGAGGTCATGGACTGTCCAGATCTCTATCGCATCATATGCGCACAACTTCAGCTAACCGGCGATGCCCGACTCTGGTGGAATGCCTACTGAAGTATGCGTCCCGGTGAGAATGAAGGTTGTACCTGGGAAAGGTTCAAGGAGTTAATCCGCGAGAAGTATTATCCCACGTACTACCGAGCTGAGATAGAGCGTCAGTTTCTGTCGCTCAAGCAGGGTACTCATTCTGTTGATGAGTACGAGAGGGAGTTTACTAGACTTGCAGCTTTTGTTCCGGACTTGGTGCGTACGGAGGCACAGAGGGCACAGCGCTTCATCGACGGGCTTTACCCAGCAGTCCGTCACATCATTGTAGGTCACGGGACCCAGATATATGCTCGTGCTATTTCGATTGCCCAGGAGGTGGACGCCAGCATTTGGAGGGAGGCAAGCCGCGACCGTTCCCAACCATTTGCTCCTGCCCAGTCATCCACAGCTCCACCAGCTGCCCAACCGTCGAAGGAGAAGAAGAGGAAGGGAAAAGGCGCTCAGACCGACAGGAGGACCCGCCAGAGGCAACAGCAGGTTCCACCGTGCCCCACTTGTGGACGACTTCATCGCGGAGAGTGTCGCTTTTGCCAGGATATCTGTTATTACTGTCACGAGCCCGGACATTTTTCTAACCGCTGTCCTAAGAAAGTACAATAGCCTCAGTAGCCTCAGCAGCCACAGCAGCAGCAACCCCGTCAGCAGGCTCAGAGGCCGCCCCAGCAGCAGCAGCAGAGGGGCAGACAGCAGGCCCGAGTCTACGCAGTTGATCAGGCCGAGGCAGAGCAGCAGCCAGGTATTATGTCAGAGATGCTTATGCTTAATAATTTTCCTATTTTCGCGCTGTTTGATACTGGAGCGACACATTTTTTTATATCACGACGATGTCTTGATGCCATCGGAGTACATGCTGTTACCTCTGTCGATCCTCTCGAGGTGAGTTTAGCCTCGGGATGAAAGATAGTAACCAGTGCTAAAGCCTCAGATCTCAGCCTCTCTATCGGTGGTCGTATATTGTCTACCAACGCTTATGTTCTCGAGATGAGGGATTTTGACCTCATTCTCGGTATGGATTGGCTATCCTATTATCATGCAGACATTCGATGCCATGACCGGGAGATTACTCTTTATCTTCCGGGAGACGATTTGATTACCTTCTTTGGCACCAAGAATCATTCCTTACCTCATGTCGTTTCGATGGAGAAAGCCACCAAGATGCTGCGACGAGGCAACTGTCAGGGTTATCTTTTGAGTCTTGTCGATGATTCTCAAAAAGCACGATCACCTCACAAAGTTCCTATTGTTCGTGAGTTTATGGACGTGTTTCCAGAAGAACTTCTAGGAGGACCGCCTAACCGGCAGATAGAGTTCTCTATCGATCTCATTCCAGGAGCCGGCCTAGTATCCAAAGCCCCGTATCGTATGGCGCCGAAGGAGTTGCAAGAGCTTAAGGCGCAAATCCAGGAGTTATTGCGACTCGGCTTCATCCGGCCGAGCATGTCACCTTGGGGAGCACCCGTTCTATTTGTTAAGAAGAAGGACGGTTCCATGCGCATGTGTATCGACTACCAGGATCTTAACTGGTTGATGATCAAGAATAAGTATCCGCTTCCCAAGAGTGACGATTTATTTGATCAGCTGAGGGGAGCTTGCATTTTCTCCAAGATTGATTTACGATCAGGCTATCATCAGCTGAAAATCAAGTAGTCAGATATTGCTAAGACAGCTTTCCGTACTCGTTACGGCCATTATGAGTTCGTCGTCATGCCATTTGGCCTCAGTAATGCTCCAGCAGTTTTCATGGACCTAATGAACCGTACTTCCCATTCCTACCTCGATCATTTTGTTATTGTTTTCATTGACGATATCCTTATCTACTCCAAGAGTCAGAAGGAGCACGAGGAGCATATGAGAGTTGTTCTCGAACCCCTCAGACTAGAAAAGTTATATGCAAAATTCTCCAAATGCGAATTCTGGCTCCAGCGAGTAGCCTTTCTTGGCCATGTCATTACTCAGGCAGGTATCGAGGTAGATCCTTCCAAGGTTTCAGATGTTCAGAACTGGTCGACACCGAAGAGTCCGTCCGAGGTTCGTAGTTTTCTCGGTCTAGCTGGCTATTATCGCAGATTTATTGAGGGCTTTTCCAAGATTGCCCTCCCTTTATCCCAGCTGACGAGGAAGTCTGTGAAGTTTGAGACTGACCGATGTGAGTCGAGCTTTTAGGAGCTCAAGAAGAGGCTAACTTTAGCACCGTGTTGACTATTCCTGATCCTTTTCGGAGTTTCACTATTTTCAGTGATGCTTCGAGACAGGGTTTGGGATGCGTACTCATGCAGAATGGCCAGGTCGTTGCCTATGCTTCACGCCAGCTTAAGCCACACGAACAGAACTATCCGACGCACGACTTGGAGTTAGCCGCAGTTGTTCATGCTCTCAAGATTTGGCGACATTATCTTTACGGCGGTCGATGCAAGATTTTCACAGATCATAAGAGTTTGCAGTATATATTCACTCAGAAAGAGCTCAACATGAGACAGCGCCGTTAGCTAGAGCTCGTCAAGGATTACGATTGCTCGATTAAGTACCATCTGGGAAAGTCGAACGTCGTTGCTGACGCCCTAAGTTGTAAGGTGAGAGGTGACTTGACGTACGTCGTTACTCAGCAGAGTCATTTGATTCAGGAGTTCGCCCGGATGCAGATTCAGGTAGTTGTTGCACTTCCCACAGCCATTACGGGAAGTGTCAGTGCCATGCAGATTCAGTCGACGCTGAGAGAGAATCCAGCGGGAGCAGGCTTCTGAAGAGTTTGTATGGATGCCAAAGTCTGCGCCGGAGGCGTCGAGGGTTTTTAGCGAGGTACCGATGGTGCCTTGGAGTTCCGTGGTAGGATTGTGGTGCCGAAAGTCGAGTCGTTGCGGAAGGAGATATTGACAGAGGCTCATACCGCACCCTACCTAGCCCATCCCGGAAGCACGAAGATGTATCATGACCTGAAAGGGTCGTTCTGGTGGCGAGGGATGAAGAAGGATGTAGCCGACTTTGTGATAAGATGTTTTACCTGTCAGCAAGTCAAGGCCGAACATAAGAGTCCGATAGGCCTCCTGCAACCACTACCGATTTTGAAGTGGAAGTGGGAGAAAGTCACGATGGACTTCGTTACGGGGTTACCGAGGTCGTCTGAACATCACGATGCTATTTGGGTCGTGGTCGACAGATTGACTAAGGTCGCTCATTTCTTACCAGTCTCGATGAAGATGTCTTTGGATAAGTTGGCTGAGATTTATACCCGTGGGATCGTTCGACTCCACGGAGTGCCTGTTACTATCGTGTCAGACAGAGATCCCAGATTCACCAGTAGATTCTGGCAGAGTTTACACGAGGCGATGGGCACGAGACTAGAGTTTAGTTCAGCCTACCATCTAGAGACTGACGGACAGACCGAGCGGACCATTCCGACATTAGAGGATATGTTACAAGCTTTGGTTGTTGACATGGTGCTAAGTGGGAGTCGTTGTTGCCCTACGTTGAGTTTGCGTACAACAACAGTTATCATTCTTCTATTCAGTTGGCTCCTTACGAGGCACTTTACGGTCGTAAGTGTCGTTCCCCTCTTTATTGGGACGACGTCGGCGAGCGTCGAGTACTCGATCCGAAGATGATCGAGGAAACCGCAGATCAGGTCGAGTTGATTCGGCAGAGACTCAAGACACCTTAGAGTCGACAGAAATCCTCCGATCAGCATCGACGAGATATTCAGTTCGAGGTTTGCGAGCCAGCTTTTCTCAGAGTTCATCCTTTTTGCGGAGTTGTTCGATTCGGAAAGAGAGGGAAGTTGCACCCTCGATTCATTGGCCCGTTCGAAGTTCTCGAGCGAGTGGGCGAAGTTGCATATTGATTAGCCTTACCTCCCGAGTTATCCAGTATTCATAATGTTTTTCATGCATCCATGTTGCGTAAGTACATGTGCGACCCCCATCATGTCATTCCCCATACTGATATTCAGATTCAGCCAGATCTATCTTACGAGGAGCGACCGGTAGTTGTACTGGACCGTCAGTTTCGTCGGCTCCGAAAGCGAGATGTCCCCCTCGTTCGTATTCAGTGGGATCGCCATGGAGCTACTTGGGAGTCGAAGGCTGATATTCGCGCTCGTTTTATCAATTTTCAGTTGTGATGTATATATTTCTTATGTTTCATGTATATTCAGTTCAATTTTGTATTTCCGAGGATGGAAATTTTTAAGGAGGGAGGATTGTAAAATCCCGTCATGTTAGTAATATAAATCATGCGTTTAGTTCCGATATAATAATATTATCGATTATTATTTTCAGAATTAATTATTTCAGTCGAGAATATCTGAGATTATTTTTGAAGTCGCGTTTTCGTTCGAAATAATTTTGGTATTAATTATTGAGCTTAATCAAAAAATTAAGCACCTAATTATGCTTAATTAGGAGTTAATCTAGCTTAGCCGCTAAAATGCCGTAGCATTTTAAGGAATTTGTGCAAAATTCTTAACAAGTGCCGTAAGCATATTTGGGTGGAATTCAAAGGAGACTTATCCCCATTCTTAGCATGAGGTTTCATTACTTTAGGTATTAAGTGATGACTAAGTGAGTTAGGGGATGATTAATCATCTTAAGGCCTCAAAACTTTAGCAAGTGGCATGAGATTATTGGCTAATAAATTTTCTCCACCTCTTCAACTTTTTGGCCATCATTTAAATGGGAAACTTAGATGAAAATTCAGCATTATATGTGCATGTATTAGTATAGAGAGAATAGTGATAGTTTCCCTTAGTGAGAGTAAGCGCACGCGGAGCTTAGTTGCAAGTCTGCGTAAGAGACACCGGCGCACGGAGGCGCACGTCCGAGCTAGTGAGAGAGGTGTAGTTTAGCCAAGCGTTCGAAGTGGTAACCTCGGTTTACCTTCTCTTGATGTTGTTAAAATCATGTTAGATCAGTTTTGTTTAAGGCAAGCTCATGAATTAGTCTCAAGTTGCTCTCGACCGTACCATGTTAATCATATCGAATAAGTTCATGTTTAATTCGAAACTCCCGAACAATTTTCATGTATTCAGCTATTACATGCCATATTATGTTCAGTTAGTTCATGTTGGTCGAGGGATTTTCATGTTTGGTCGATAAGATGGCCAAGGGACGTGGGTTGCGCACGTAGCGCATGCCACGAGCCGTTCATGTTTATGGTCATGTTATTTAGTGATCCTTCGAGCATTTCATGTTTATTTGATCAATAAATATTATTTCATGTTCAGTTATGTGTTAGTTGTCGAAGAAAAATTATGTTTGGTCGAGGATCGGCTTAACGCCGTAGGCGGCGCACGGTGCGCACGCCACCAGCCACCGTAGCATATTGAGCAAATTCATGATTTTTGAGTATTTTCAATAGATTTGATCACGTCATGATATTTCATGTTGTTTCATGTTAAAACGGTCGGGAGAAGTCGCCGGACGGCCGGCAAGGGCCGGTCGTGGCCGCGCTGCCTGCACACAGCGGCAGCAGCGCGCCGGCAGT